AAGTATTTGATCATCAAAATTATATTTTTCTTCTTTTTATATGTTGTATAAATACACGTCAAAATAATACTTTCGCATATTCATTCAGTTTGTCATAAAAAATGGTGAAAGAACAAGCACGATTTTCAGACAATCTGATCCTCTAGTCCCCTTAAGGCTCCTGGTCCCTTGCATTGTCTATCTCTTTTTAACGACGTCAGAAGCAAGAAAATACTTGTGCTAAAAATTCTTGTTATATGTCTATAACTGTCACTATTACTATCTTCAACAGTTATATCGTTGAGTGGAAAATTATAACATTGATGTAATGTTACTCGGAAGAAAACTCTTATTCGTAGTTAAGTGATCTAAAGAGCGACAATTACCAAGGATTCAACATCTGTTATCAAGTATTTTACGACTGTTACCAAGTGTTTAGTAAGTGGTCGGTTAAGAATCTTTTCAAAATTCCGTTTTACGAACTACTCGGTAACTATCAACATTTATTTTGTTAAGGCAACGAAATATTTGATGTCTGTTAATTATATCGACAACAATATCCTTCACCTTTCGATATCCATCACATATCGAATATTGTTACGTTGTTTCCAATGTTTTCTAATGAGTATGACATTATCACGTTTCTTTGAAACGTTATAAGGACATAAGGACATTATAATCATGGGTCATGAAAATATCTTCAGAACTTGTAAGATTCAACGTCCTGTTTAAAGAATCCTATAAGGATTTATAAAAATACACACGAATTTCATTGAAATACTGTATAACCTTATCGGAACTTGCCATTTCTATTAGAAACGTACATTTCTCAATTTCTCATGTTTAATCTTATAATCTCAAGAGATTATTAATTTTTCTTTCGTTTTGTATTGTAACTTATTTTTAACGATTGAATATTATACTGCACAATTGAATATTTATCTGAATGCGCGTGCTTTTCTATGTGATTTTATCATTTTTTTAACAAAAAAACACGATCCAGTTATAAAGATTTTTCTTATCTAATTCTATCAAATCTTTTGAGTAGGGATTACACGCTATATTTTATCCCGTATCGTTTATTTAAGCGATTTAGTATCAGCTCTCAAATTTTGGTACTTATCACAAAATCTTTTCAGTGTAGATAGACGTACATTAATTTTCACTTTAATCCCGTGTATTATGATTTCGCGATAACGGCACGTTTAATGGTATTATAGTCGCTCTTAATTTTGATTAATTTATCGCACTCGAAAGATATCGCGACAGTTGTCTTAGATAAGGCCGCGTTAGATGTCCTCGAGTGCACGTTATCGAGGATATATTGATCGGCGCTTTTGCACATGTAAGTAAAACGAATCACACGAGCTGTGTTTGCCTCGACCCGATCAGAAGTGCGCATTAATTAATTGATCAATCGATACAAGTGTCAAGAATGTTAGGAATAACCGTGTGGCACTTATGAACCGTCGTGTGAACCGTCTGACTCATCGGGTCAGTTACTTTATATTTTCTGACGTAAGCGGAAGAGTAAGTCGGTTTCCAACGGAATCCAACGTACATTCCGCGTAGGAAACGGTTCCACTTAGCGTTCTCGTGTCAGCGGGCTTCACCGGTCCTGTCATTATCAAACGGGATTTACGAGGTCGCGTCACCCTGACTGATTTATATTCGATGAATTAAATGAGACTTGTATTAAGGCTCTCCGACATCCAATCACTGAGAATTAATTTTGGTCGGTAAGAGCCATGCCAAAATGTTGCTGGTGAATAATAATTTTCTGCGGGTGAATAATCGAGATATATATAATATCTGAAATAGAATGTCTGTCTATATGTTCCTCATTAACTCCTAAATCCTTTGACCGATCTAGAAGAAATTTTGCATAGTTACTCGTGCGGAAAATTTAGACCCATCACTAAACCTAGACATTCCAACCCCTCTCCATAAATTTTATCCCTATGACATTTTGTGATAATGTCGGGTAGTTTAAGTTAATAATATAATAATATGTGATATATATTAGTTAAGATTGAGAAAGTTGCATTTTTATTTCTAAGTCGAATTTTTCAATCTCTTAGGGCCGGTTTTTCAATGATAGTTTAAACTTAGATTTCAACTTCGATTTCAATTTAAACTCGATTTAAACAAAATAAACGCATTGTTAGAATAGAGTTTAAACTTGAATCCAAGTTTAAACTATTGAAAAACTAGCCCTGTGAGCTAACTAACAGTTAAATCATACGTCTGTCTTCATCTGATTTGAAGAAAAAGCAATGATAGACATATGATTGAACTGTTAGTTAGATTATCAAGAGATTAAAAAAGGCCTTGTAGGATAGAAGGTCTCTGAATAATTTCTTGTTTATTTTAAGTTCTTGAGAAACTTTGTTGCGATGAATATCGATAGATGACGGATATCGATATAAGTATAGTTGATAATTACCGAATATTTTATAAAGCAGAATTGAATGAATTTTTAACACTTAACAGACACCTCTGATAATTGTAATGAGATAACAAATAACTTGATAACAGATGTTAAATGCTTGGCAATTCTTTACATCATTTATATCCGCGTATGTGTGTGAGAGAGAGAGAATAAAAGTTCTTAGATATTCAATAATTAATAATTAATTTTCTTTGTGTCTCGCAAGAATGTTGGTAGCAAATAATAATGTTCTGCGGGTGGATAATACTATAAAAATCTGTGATAATGTTTATATATAGAACTGAGAAAATTACATTTTTAATTCTAAAGAATGGAAAGGCTCTAAATCACTTTTTTCTTTAAATCTCCCGAGGAATTTTATTGATTGCTGTAATATATTTAAGAACTTCTGTCATTTAATTTTCCTGCTAAGACTCTTAGAAAAAATCCGCCTTTCTTTTAGAATTATATAGTACGCTTTCTGGCAAATGTTTAAACCGTCTGTGTGTATTAACGCATACTCATAATATGATATATTGATGATATATCTGTAAGGGAAATTGGGCCTAGATGCCCTATATTTTAGAATTTCGAAATTACAACTTTTCTAGCTACTAATTGTTGTGACTGACTACTAATTGTTGTGACTAAATATGGCAACCTTTCTCTATGTATTAATACCTATTCTGTTAACATTTTGTTTTGTTTTGTAATAACCAAAATACAAACATGCAACATACAGAACCACATGTTGATTCAAGGTTTATTCGACGTCGATGAGCGTTGACAACATTTATTCATCGATCATTTCTACGTCGAATCAACCTTGAATCAACGTTGTGGTTCTGACTGGGAATATAACTCTGGTATCAGGTTCAGTTGCCTAGTAGCGTAAGAAGACCACATCAAGATACATAAAATATGTATCCTGATTACTAGTCCCACAGTCTCTGCGAAAGGTCTCCTTGTCGGCCCTTAATGATAGGTTTACTTTCTCATCCGCTCGTATGCTCAATCATTTTATAAGTGAAAATTATATTTATTACTAGAAACAGTATATTATATGCTTGCAAGAAATTTCATTCTAGCTAGTAATATATTACTTAATTTTATCAATCATTTTATGAGTGAAAATTACATTTATTACCAGAAACAGTATATCATATACTTGCAAGAAATTTCATTCTAGTTAGTAATACATTGCTTAATTTTATTTAGTCATGGAGAATATTAATTCAAAATTTCGAGAAGCTCAAACATTTATTTTGCTATTATCAAATTAGTGTTTCCTATTTCTTAATTTTAATATTATTCCGATTTTAATAAAACTCAGAGAAAAGTATTTACGTTCTAGAAGGACTATTTCGTAATTTTGTACCCACTATGCCTGCCAAGATAAATATTTAAAAAAAGTATTAGCATAGCTAATATTTGAAAAAAGTATTAGCAACATACCTCTGGGCTCATATAGCTCCGGTTTCTTCTCTATAATACATCTTTAAATACTTTTAAAACTATTATTAAACCCTTCAATCAACCCTCTCAGATGCTACTATTTGTTCATATTTATTACGTTTTTGGAATTCTTTTAATTTTCTTTTCACACTTTTCTATTTTGTCTTCCTCTCTTTATATTATCTTTTTTTATTGTCTAGTACTAAAGAAACATCTTCCCGTTTAATTAAATAAATAAAACGTCTCGGCGCGTGCAATATATCGTCGATATTATTACTCTCCCAGCAAAAAACTATTATTCTCGTCGCCAATTTCCTCGCGCGGCTCTTATTGGCAAGAATAAATTCTTGTGACTCTTGTCCGAGGTTTGCTTCCACAAAAGAACGGCACTGCTTTATCTAACTGCTTTATCTAACTTATCTTACTTCCATGTAAATTTGCGTAGCTTCATTTGTCCCTTTAATAATTGTCACGCAAACGACTGCAATCAAAGGCCGAAGTTACTGTTCCGCTTGAAGTCGCGATTCGATAGCGTTGATCGTTAAGGCCTTTGCACGTCAAAAAGTCTTAACCGTAATTCCGTAAATTTCCAACACATACAATCAGATGGAGCAACGCAGATGAAAATTCACATACAGCCTTACGGTTACGAATTTTCACTTGCGTTACTTTATCTGATTATGTGTGTCGGAAACTTACGGAATTACAGTTAAGACTTTCTGACGTGCAAAGACCTTTACATAACGCATATCTCCCAGCTGGAGCGGCGATAACGTCAGGAAGCTGCGCGATTTATTCAGCGATGACGCTCTCTCTCACCTGCGAGGAGGCTCGGTTTGAAGATAAATCTTCAGGCGGATGAATTTTTCGTGTATACTGCGCGTCGGTCAGCCGGATATCCAATCGATATCCCAAAATATCCAGCGCGGGTTGCCTGCGCCGCTACGGGATATGCGCGCCGCCGAGAGAAGAGAAGAGAAGAGGCCAACGGGCCGGTGGTTCGAGCAGCGATGACGAGGGCGATCGATGTGATCCGTGGTGCGTTCAATGCCACTTGGAGAACATTGAATTGTGTTCAGCGGAGACATAGAGAACGAGTGAGTGAGAGAGAAAGAGGGGGGCATACCCCACGGTCGATGCCTATATAGCCAGCCACTGGACAGACCGTTCCAGTCGTGGTCTCTCGTCTCAGGATCTGCCCGCTTCTCCCTTTTTTCCCCCTTTTTCGTCAATTATCCTCGGACTAGCCTCGATTCTTACGAGAGCGCGGTACTCGCGATACTTGCCGCGACATGCCGCTCGCTTAACCGATCTGTCCCACTCGACGTGCGTCGATCAGCCTTGAGGAGCCCGAACTGCCGCGAAGCGACTGGTTCGCCGGTGGTAGCGCACGGCCAGGCGAGTCTGTCGCTCACGCTCGTGACGATAAGGATTCCTCGGTATGTTCTCCGGGACGTAGGGGTTCCTCGGCTCGAGGAGCGCGGTTCTCGTGTCCATTCGTCGTCGACGGCTGCGGAGGAGCGCGTCTAGTTGCGCGACGGACGTCATCGAGATTTCGCGCGGCGCGCCGTCCAGCATCCACACCGAAGGCTGGAGCCGAGTTGCAGCGGTTGCGACCCGAAGAAAGCGGTGCCGTCTCTGCCTCTTCGAGGAGCCTCCTCGGGGACTCGGATCGCCGGCGACATGCCGCCGCAGGAGAAGTTCTCCACGTCAGTGAACGGGGACCTGGGCTCGAAGGACACCAGCCCGGACGGTCTCTCGATGTCTTGCCGGGACTCGTCCTCCGAGGGCTTTCCCACGGCCAGCGAGAAGTCCGTCAAGACCCGCCGCAATGGCCATCGGCCGAGTAACGGCCAGCAGGACGCCGAGCAGCCCAAGGATATGGATTTTGACGAGCTGTTGCCGCACGTCGGCGAGTTCGGCACCTACCAGAGGATCCTGTTCGTCATGATGATCCCGTTCGCTTTCTTCGTCGCCTGGGTGTACTTCTCGCAGATATTCATCACCCTCGTGCCGGAAGAGCATTGGTGCCGCGTGCCGGAACTGGAGAACCTCACGGCCGCGGAAAGGTAGGACGCGAACGAAAGGAAAACTAGTCGGATTGGCTTGCATGGATTAGCGCGATACGAGATGACGGAAACTCTATGATAGTAGCTCTACGATTTTCTTTAATTGCAATCATGAGGCGAATGTATTACTGTACTGAATTAATCGTTCAATTTACATCGTACATACAATTGTATATGTAAATCTTCTGTCATACTCATCACAAATTTAAAATGAGCTCATTGTTACATATTCAAAAGAAGAATTTATTTTCTTTACAAGAATATTAGAAAACTTCGTCGATGCAATATTGTTTTTACGTAGTAAGCAAACCGAATTTTTGTTTTAATTAATGCTTTGTGCACCTGCAAATGCAAAATAACATGTCATGTAAAATATAATGTCTGAGTGTAACTTTTAGAAAATTTGTTACTGCATCAATATGACTTTAAAAGAAGATATGACAAAATTTACTTTGATATAAATTGCCTGATTAATTCAATACAGTATATTTTCTTCATAAATATAATTAAAGCAATTGCAAACTTTTCATCACCGCTTGCCTCACGTCGTAATAATCAAGAAAGTCCATCTGAGAAAGCTACATTCAGAGAGTTCCATAAAGTACATTTTACATAACATTGTTTGAGCAAATTTTCATCATTCTTTTCGTATTTCCATTCTATTATTTGATTTAGTAAATATGAATGCTATATAAAGGACGCAGTTTTCACAAATAGACTATTAAAGCAACTAATTTGCTGTCAAATTTATGTGCTCTTGTCTAGTTGTATATCCAGATACGGTTTCAATATAACAGTCGATAATGGAGAGAAAATCTACAATTTTTTTAATTACATTCATGAAGCAAATGTATTGAATCAATTATTAAATTTACATCATACAATAACGTAAACTTTTAGTCCCATTGATGCAACAATAAATTTACTAAAAGTAACACTCAGACTCTTAAATTACATTTTCCATGAGTTATTGTTTCAAACAAATTTTTATCGTTCTTTTCATATTTCTTCTTCATATTATTCTGTGATAAATATGAATGCTACATAAACCTATGTATTATATGTAGCTACATAAGCTACATATAATAAAGAAAGTAACGTTCACCAATCCATTAAAGTCACTGCCAAATTTACATACACTTTATCCAGGTATAGTTTTTCCTATGCTTCGCGTAGAGACGCGATCGAATTCTGAGAGATTAGATCGCAATCTTTTCCGGAAATCTGATACGGACATCTTTCCCGGACGTAGTTGATACGCACAGACATAAAGTGGATCATATGCGCTTTCTGCAGATCCTACGATTTATTGTGGTGATTTCCTCTTGACACTTTTCCTCATTGCTCTCGCAAACACGATGCGCCGTCAAATCTTTAAACCAGTTCTCCGTAATCTATCGCAGCTGAACAGTACAGAAATCGACACGACCACAAATAATTCGATCAAACAATCCTGATAAGATAAATCAGACCATAGAACTACTCGTTTCGCGTCTAAGCGCAGAACAAATACGCGCCGGGCGACAACTCCGGAGCGATAACTTTGTACGGTAACTTCGACGGAGAGAATAAACGGACTCTGTGACGTAACTGTATAAATACATGTAGGTGGTAGTAACGTTCGCGGTGAAACGCGACGTGCGTTAACTCAATGAAGGATCGGAGAAAAACGCGACACGAGGCAGAAAAGCGGCAGGATGCAAAGCTGCGAATGGCGCCTCGTCTACCTTGCGCCTATGCGGGCAGACTTTCGTGATTAGCACGATAACATTGAGACAATCGGCAATGAAAGCTTAGCAGTTCTTTCGATTGAACTGACGTTACAAATATACTGTGCGCATATTGAGTTAATCATGAAATTTACATCATACAGTTATGTAGTGGAGAGTTAGACGCTCTATATGTTTTATGAACCTTCTACAATAAGCTATTAATCATAAGTCACAAGCAAGAGTTGACTGACCACATTTTTGAAAATAATCGACTGTGATTGGTTAATTTGCTTTCGGCTTATGACTAATGGCTTATTGTAAAAGGCTCATTAGAATTTCGAAGTTACAACTTCTCAAGCAACTAATCGTTCTGACTTGTATAAACTGATAGAAGCTTCTACAATGCCCGCCATAACTCTGTTAAGCATACATTTTGTTTTGTAATAAGTAAAATATAAACATGCAGCAACATAGTCACGATAGAGAATATTAATTTAAAATTTTGAGGAACTCGAGAACTTACTTTGCTATTATCATAAATCAACTTTTTCTCTTTCTTAACTGTAACATCATTCCGATTTTAATGAGACTCAGGGAGAAGTGTTTATGTTTTAAAAGGATCATTTTGCGATTTTGTATCCACTATTCACTCTCAAGATAAATATTAAAAAAGCACACGAGCAACATACTTTTGGGGCCCTGGTCTTCCCCAAATTTGTTACTGTATCAATGCGACAACAAATCGACTAAAGATTACACTCAGATTTTCATATTACATTTTGTATAACATTGTTTTGAAATTTTCATCACTCTTTTCATATCTCTTTCGCATTTTTATTCTGTATGAATGTCATACAGACTGTATAAATTCTGTATAAATTCATAAGGAGTGTAATCTTTATAGATCGATTAGTAAAATTGCGACCAAGTTTACTATATTAAATAAAATTCAGCAATGTTAAATCTCTTATAACTTGTTAGATTGCAATCATATTTATCACATAGAATGACAAGATAGAAATAGAAAAAAATATGAAAAAGTGGTCAAAACTTACTTAAAACAATATATCGTGTCAAATGTAACATAAAAATCTAAGTGCGACCTGTAGTAAATTTGTTGCTGCATCAATATAATAAAAAAGTTACTTTATCGCATGATATAAACTTCATAGTTAATGCAATACAGCACATTTACTTTACAGATGTAATTAAAAGAATTTAAACTTTCCATTATCGATTGTCTCATGTCGTGATAATCATGAAAGTCTATCTGGGTGGGTGCATTAATATTAATACTTTTCTCTTCCGTTTCCATTCCGTCTCGTTTTCTCTCGAGAGGCGAAGAGCGTGGTCGAAGGACGATGAAACGATAATCCAAGGATCATTGTTGTCGCTTGTCTTCGAGTGTTTCGCGATTACTGTCGATCACACCTTTAAACACACGCCCGCGGCGACACGCTCATTCCACTTACGGCCATTCCGCTTTAAGAGCGCTCTTGCCGTGGCTCAAAGTCAGTGGATAAATCCTTAACATTCCAATTAACCGGAATACCCAGAAGCAGTGATTCACGCCGGTCTGTTATATTTCCCCAGCTAAAACAGTTTGTTTAGCGCACTTTGCGGTTACAACGTCAAACGTGACGTGACGTTCGCGAGATCTCATGAAGATATAAATCATTTCACCGCATTACAGCTAAGATGAGATACACTTGCATATATACACAAAAAAACACATACTGCTTCAAGTAAATGTTACTTCTTTCAAGTATTTCTTAAGTTTCTATGTTCTATAATCTTATATCTATCTCTCTATAATCCAGACAGCATACAATATTTACAAAATATTTTAGAAATATAAATATTAAATATTTTATAAATACTCAAATGTCCGAGATTTTCTGGTATAAAAAAGATTATAATAAATATTTAAAAATATTTATGAAAAATATTTTTCATAAATACTTTTATGAAAAAGATGATTTATGAATTATTTATGAAAGATTTATGATAAATATTTTTAAATATTTATCATAATCTCTTTTTCATACCTGAAAATCTTGGACATTAGAATATTTATAAAATATTTAATATCTATATTTCTAAAATATTTTGTAAATATTGTATGCTGTCTGGGAAGCTCATTACATAAGCATCAAATTTGTTCAAGAGGCATTCTGAATCCTAGTAAGTTTAGCATTTCAGTCAAGAATATTAAATGAAAACAATAAGTTGATTTGTTTATTATATAGATAGATAGATTATTATATACATAGATAAAGTTTTATAATATTCTTGTAAAGAGAATAAATTTTTCTTTTGAGCATACGACAATGATCTTTCCTCAAATTTGTGATGAATATATTGTAAGACTATTATCAAGCAATAAATATTCTTTACTGAAGAGAACTACTACTTAAAAAAAGAAAAATAAACTGAGTGTGTGTGTATATATATATATATATATATATATATATATATATATATAAAGAAGGCCGTGGCTAGATGCCTCATATTTAAAAATTTCGAAGTTATAACTTCTCAGATAACAAATTGTTGCGACTGACTGTACAAACATGATAGAGACAGCTTTCTTCTATGTAAATAATGCCCGCCATCCTGTTAACCATATATTTTGTTTTACAATAACGAAAATACACAAACATGCAGCAATGCCATTTTGCTTTGATATCGGGTTCAATAAATCCAGGTAATAAGGCCATATATAAAATACGATCCTGTTTAGCAGTTCCGGGATCTTCTCTCGCGAGAGGCCTCCATAGCCCTCCTGCTGACTCGTAATTATGGGCCAACATTACTTCGCCCGTTCAAGTACTTGATTTGAATCATTTGAATCATTTGATTTGAATCATTTGATAAGTAAAAATTATTTTTATCATTCAAAATCGTATAATCGTAAGAAACTTCATTTTAGCTAGTAATACATCGCTCAACTTTATTCGCTTATAATGAAGAATATTAATATAAAATTTCTCTCTAAAATTTACTTTATCACTATTAAATCAGCTTTTTTATTTTTTAGCTGTGATATTATCCCGATTTTAATAAAACTTAGATAAAAAAAGTATCTATGTTCTAACTATTTTGTATCCACTGATTTTATATCCACTGTTTCTTTCAAGATAAACTTAAAAAAAGCATACGAATAACATACTCCTGGGCTATCTGGACTCGACCTCCCTTAATTCTTTTTCTTAGTAGTAGAATGATATCTTTTTTGTATACGCAAAAATAGGCATTTCCTGTTTTTTTGCTTGGCGGACTCAGAAT